AGAATGGCCATGGCCGATTGCGGACACACCAGCCGGTGTCCGAGTGAATTCGACCGGGGAAGTTCGACCGTTACCCGGTCCCTTCAAACCGGTCATGAGTAATGGACAACGAGCATTAAGCAAAAACTTACTGCATATCTTTTCCCAACTCATGTTTGACAATGGGCTGGGTGATAAGTTTATTCTTTACGGTGGAACTCTGATCGGATCGTACAGACATCATGATATCATCCCGTGGGACGATGATCTCGATATCTTGGTTGATGTAACTGTCAGATCCAAGGTGCAAGCACTGTTGGAACAACTCGGTCCGGAGTACAAGTTGAGCAAACAACACAGTCGGGATAAATTCCACACAGCCACCTCCCCGGAGCTCGATACCAATTCGTCCGATCTGCTCGTCAGTCGCCGTGCGTCTAAATTTTCATGGGGTTGGCCCTATTTAGACATTGGATATTATCAACAAAATGAAACTCATATTTGGGAACTGGCTTGGTCATACGGTCGGTCGTACGAGTGGCCGAAAGTAGTTGTGTTTCCGCTTCGGTTACGGCCGCTTGGTGATGAATGGTACCCAGTCCCATATCGGACAGCGGAATTCTTACGTATTACCTACGGTTCCGGTAACAAGTGTGTGATTTTTGGTTACTCTCATGTTCTCGAAGGTGGTGGACCAAGCGGTACACGGAAATGTTCAGATCTATCAACACAATATGCATTTGTCGAGCATCGTTTAGCTCCCCATACCAATTACCTTGTGATCACTCCCATATCGTTGACGGATTCGTTTGTTCTCGGCGAGGAACGACTGGTTTTGCACGATCTGGTTGGAAACATCCAAGTCATACACACATTGCAAATGCCCGTGTTGGAATCGGAAACTCGATCCGAAACCTATGGATTCGGTCAACGAAACTAGGGAATGTGTCAATTTTCAGAATATTTGTGAATGAGGTGTTTTGGTCGTTTAAACTCAGTGCAAAACGTCATTTGTCTTTCCAGAACAGATTCTTATTCTCTCATTTATCGATTTATGTCCATTGACCTTATACACTATGTAATATATTTACATGCATACTCAATGCACATTACCAGATACCAAACGTTTCGACTGTTGTTTTTCCAACTGAGTTACACGGTTGCAATAGACCGATCTGAACATGATATAATGATCCAAGGCATCAAACGATGATTAATAAAAAAACCGCGTGAATGTAGGTTACCAAATCCATATGAGTCGTTCATAACAAGGAACCGTACGTAAAAATCCGTATGTCCACAAATGTGTGCTCTACCATTGTGTAGCTTATTTTGGAATACTCACGTTATTCAATAAATAAAAAAGGAGGGAGGATCGTGTCAAGTACACCGCTCGGTTCGTTCTACATGTCATTTGTAGGGTAATATGCGAGACCCGGTCGTGCCATAAGAGAATGTCACGAAAATAGGGGACGCATTTGGAATAAGTATCATGCGGGTTCGGTTGACTAGTTATATGGACCAGGTTTTTAATTGGAATAAGGTGCGGAGTAACTTGAGTCCCTATACAACTGTTGATTAGAACAGTAAGGTTTCACGAAAGAAACAATACTTGCTGTCATGGCACGCTCATGACACGATCGGGTAAATTTCGAATGGCATACAAAAACCTGACTGAGGATTATGTGTATATTTCACACCGGTTTGAGAACAAGCAAGGCGTAAACACAAAACAATTATGATAATGAGGTTATGGAGGATTATAGAAAGAGTAAATGAAAATGGAGAAAAGAACTAGAACAAAGGAATGAATGAATGATTGTTTTGGTGGTTTCACCGTACACTATTTGAAGATGTTTTTGTCTGTTTTGGGGAACAGGATTTCACCAAACAAACCGCACAGCAATCGCGCAATGATGTTCTGTTCTGGGCAATCTTCAGCCCTTGGGCCTCAACCTGGAAAGCGAGCTGCACCAACCAAAGCCAATGCTGAGACTGACTTCTTCATACTTTTACGTCATGTCATGGTTTGACCACTGCAACGCTTCTTCCAGCTTTGCCCGGCACGTGCAAAGAGAGCACGGAGAGGTAGACGATGGGTAGGCATACGCAAAACATGACCAAGCCATCGGAGACGGTGTTGAACGATTAATTCTTTTAGAGAACGACTATTCACATTCAATACACGACAACGAATTTCGTCATTGCTCACCCAGTG